GGGTTTGGGGGGGGGGGGGGGACATAAGATGATCATTGGTTTGACCTCGAGTGGCGTCGTCAAAGTCAGGACAAGGTCACTTTGAATTTTTTAAACAGAATCCCCCATTTTTCATTACATATTCTTATAGCATACCTCGAAAGCTTTCCAGAACACTATAATAAAATATTTTTTCATTAAATATCTTTCGAGTTAAAAGGCTTCAAAATTACAATATTTGTTGCCATTAGCATTAGTACCTAAGGTGTTCGACCGATGGCTAAAACCTTTTGAATGTTGTTCAGGGCCATGACCTTGACAAATGTTGTTAAGGCGATTGACATATGAACATTTGTCAAGGTTAAGGCGATTGGTGGCTGTTCCTATTTTCATTTCTTCAAATTTTACAGTGAAAACGATTTTCGACATATTCGTTTGAGAGTACCCTGTTGTGCCCTTTCATATAGTCTTTTAATTACCGTCTTATTAGGATGACGTCTATCCGGAAATGTTTCGGCATAAATCCTTTTAGCTGTCGTATAATTATTTCTTGTCTTATCTAATATTCTGATCATATCCACGATTTCGTTAGGCGGGTAATCAGCCATAATTACAGAACAATAGAAAAACTTGTGATAACACTGAAAGTATTGAATTCGCCACGAGTCTCCGCACTGCGGTTGAATTAGCAACAATGCGGACAAGTGACGCTAGCAAGTGAATAATACGAGCTATGATTATTAATGAAATTTATTAATGGGATTTCACATGTGTGCTTCTTTGTGGACCCGACGAAGCATTGTGACCTTCATATAATCCTTTAAAGTCAATCGGACTCCACATGTTAACGCATGATTTTAAATTATTATTTTCGTTTTCACTGTAAAATTTGAAGGAATGAAAATATTAGGAACAGCCTCCAATCGCCTTGAGCTTGACAAATATTGTCAAGGTCATGACCCTGAACAACATTCAAAAGGTTTTAGCCGTCAAATTGGTACCTTAGGTACCAATGCTAATGGTAATATATTGTAACTTTGAAGCCTTTTAACTCGAAAGATACTTAATGAAAAAATATTTTATTATAGTGTTTTGAAAAGCTCTCGAGGTATGCTATAAGAATATGTAATGAAAAATGGGGG